CTACAACCTCCTTTCAGGTAGTTGTAGAGAGCAATAAGGTCTCCCCTCAGCCTCCTCTTCTCCAGGCTAAACAACCCCAGCTCCCTCAGCCGCTCCTCATAAGACTTGTGCTCCAGACCCTTCACCAGCTTTATTGCCCTTCTTTGGACACGCTCCAGCACCTCGATGTCCTTCTTGTAGTGAGGGGCCCAAAACTGAACACAGTACTCGAGGTGCGGCCTCACCAGTGCCGAGTAGAGGGGCACTATCACCTCCCTGGTCCTGCTGGCCACACTATCCCTGATACAAGCCAGGATGCCATTGGCCTTCTTGGCCACCTGAGCACACTGCTGGCTCATGTTCAGGCGGCTGTCAACGAACCTGCAAGTAAATTAAGCACAGTTTCTTGTCTTGGAAAGAAGAAGGGTGAATTGACCTCAGTGATACTTGAATGTTTTTTATCAGGGTATCCAGCATGGCAGACCCCTGTTAGGCTATCTAGTGGTTACTTAGAGTCTGGAAGATTTAAGGTACTATATGTAAGTGCTGAAGGCATTGCTGTTTTGCTCCTGACTGTTAGACCATTCTGACTTCCTATTCATACACATTTTAAAAACTCCATTGCCTCTGGTGGATACACTCAGCAGCAAGAAGAGGATCACTTTAAGTTTAACTGCTCCTTTTTTAGTTAGTTAGTTAAAGCCTGCTCCCCATCCTAGTGTATTTTGGGCAGTCCCTTTGGGGTAGCTGCAGGAGCTAGTGTACCTTTAATCTGTACATAATTCACATGAGACTTTGCCTTAAAGGCAATCGGAGGTTTTCTATTTGCATTTCATTACAAAGTGGCAGAATAAAGGAATGTTTTAGGTGGCAACACCTGCTCCTACAGTTGTGGCATCACACAGGGGACTGGAAGAAATACATTTAACTCCTGGCTGCTCCGCAGACTGTCAGTGTCGTATTGGCAGGTAACATCGACTTGCTGAATACACACCAGTGAAGGCAGCAGAAGCATAAACACAGATTTCCAGGCAGGTGGTGTAAGAAGCTACCCTGTGCCTGCTGGGTTGTAGTAAATATGCTTGCAGCCTTAGGGCTCTCTCTCTTAAGAGCTTTGCAGTTGCCAGTTTCTAGTCTGGTCATCCAACAGAAATGTGCCTCTGCTGGGGATCGGAGCTAGGATCCTGGATTGTGGACTGGTGGAGCTGAGAGGACAAATGTTCCCCTCTAGAGAGCTGCTGTAGGTGTTATGGAGGTGGTAACCTCCTGCCTGGGGCATGGTGGAGGTTACAGAGGTGGTAACCTCCTGCCTGGGGCATGGTAGATCTCAGAGGTGACAACATATGAAGGTGATTCCGCAGTATTTGCCAGAGTTTGTCTGTCAGAGCCCTCAGCCTGAGCAAACCCACATTGACCTGGTAGTGTTTAACTGCTTTTTTCATTCTAGGAGGAGTTCAAATGAGTTTTATCCCAGCTGCCGTGTTTTAATTGTTCAAGGCAGCGTCACGGAGCTCAGGTGAAGTGCAGTTAATCTGTGGCTGCCAGTGTGTGCCCAAGCTCCTGTGCTCCCTTTCCCTTGCTTTTGGCCTGTTTCATTGCTAAATCAGAGCACCTTTTCAAGTCTCCAGTGTTTCTGGAGCTCAGTTTGACACATACGCAGCCGATATTTTTTTTGAAGCTTCATCTTAAACCAGGGATTTTTACTATAATTTGAAATATATTGAAGGAAACACAAAATCACTCAAATGAAAATGACTATTATTATTAACAGAGCTCTATCTCATGCACTGCTTTGTAAATCCACCCAGATTTCTTCTACCACCAGAATGTAATTAAGTTTAAAAGCTTTTTAAATCAAGGCTTGAGAAATAAGCAGTAGCTACTAAGTTGAATTAACATAAGATAGCGTACTATGTAAATCTACATTATCCTGAGTGCCTGCTAGTAGAAGGATTTAATTCAAAAATATGTAGGTGGTATTATCACCACATGTCATTTAGGAGTCTGCTGCTGGAATCGTGTGTCTGGTCCACGCTTTGCATAAGAAGATTGTGAATAATTGGAGAGGGTTCAGAAAACAGCTGTAGAATTCATTTGGGGCCCAGAAGCTGTTCTTTGCTGTGAACAATTGAAGTGAAGAGGTGGCTGAGCTCCAGTTCATGCACACGAACATGAAGAAGGGATTGCTGTCAGCCAGATTAAACGTTGCTCTTTAACATAAGAAGAAATAATGAGATGCAGTGTTTGGGGGCTAAAGCTGAGCAAACCCAGCTAGAAATAAAGAGTTAGAGTAATTAACACTGAAACAACCTACTTAGGGTGATAGTGGCTTCTCCATCTCTCACAGTCTTTAACCCAAATCTCATATCTATAGAACAGATATTCTATAGCTCAAACTGGAGTTATGTTCCCAGTGCAGATATTTTTCCAAGACCCACTCATCTTTACTCAAATTTATTTGCTTGGATCATCCCCTTGTAGCCTTTGCTCTTCATCTTTATTTTCCTAATCCCTGGGACAAGTGCAGTGTTCAGGCAAGTTTGCTGATCTTCTGAATATGAGAATTGTTTCATTAAATGCTTCTTGCTCTAGTAGATCACAATTTGGAAACAGAACAAGAAGTAATTTGCTGAAATTGCATAAGAGAAAGCCAGATTAGGCATTAGGGTAAAAGTTTTCCGGCAGTATAGGAAAATAAGCCATGAAGTAGTTCGCAAGGGGAGTTTGTGGAGTCCCTTCCCCTGGAGGGTTTCATAAACAGATTATACAGACATGTGCCAGGTTTTAGGTAGAGTTGATCCTACCTTGCAACGGGAGGGTGGACTGGTACATCTCCAAGTGCCATCCAGCTTTTTTTATTTGAGTCTGTGTGTCTGTGAGGTAGTGGAGCTTAGTATCATGTACTTCTGATTGCAGGCCCCCTCTCTTACAGATGCATACTGCACTGACAAGCCCATTAATTTAAATAACAACATTTTGTACTTTGTTTTTTAAATGTGTGGGTGAATTTTTTGCTTATGAATCCAGAGGCAAGATAGAAAAGTCAGAATTGGCTCAAGAACCTCCCTGTAAATTTATGAATGTGGGAACGGTCTTGTTGCATACCTCCAACAAAATTGTTTTCAAAGGCGGTGGACACATGTGCATCGCCTCAGCCACATGGGCAGAGGTGCATTCAGGCACAAGCGTGCAAACCCTGGGGCTTAGAGGGCTGCTGCAAAGCCAAATTCTGGCTGCTGTGGTACAGATGGACCCTCCAGCATCCGGCAGCACGCAGGGGAGCAGATGAGGTCTGCTGCCAAGGAGCGACCCTGGGGGAGCCCCCTTCCCCTCTCCGTTCCACGCTGGTGCAGCTGGGAGGTGGCACAGGCACCTTCCTACTGCCAAAATAGCACATTCAGCAAGAAGCCACCACTGTGTCTGTCTTGCCAAGTCATGAGCTCCTGAGGAATGCAATCTTCATGCTCCTGCCAGAGACTAGTGGGGATTATAATCTCATTAATTTTCATGGAAAGTCCCGGGAGCTGTAAGCAGTAGCCTGGATTACAGCAGGGCTAGGGAGGTCACGCTGCCAGTCATCGGCTCTGGCTAGGGAGGTTTGTTTAGGCCAAGTTTTGCTTTTGCTGTGAACAAGGCTGTATTTCATTTCACCTGTGACATGGATAGATTCAGGGTGGCAGAAGAGGAATTTCAAGAAAAAGTGATTTTATTATAATTGTAATCAGTGGGAGGGGACCTAGGTGAATCCAGCATCAAACAAGTAAAAAGAAAAAACTTCTTTGCAGCATGGGAGTCCTGGGCTAAGCAGGGGACTCCGGGTGAAGGGGAGCCCCACAGAGCTGGGGAGACCCAGCGCTGGTGTTTATTTGCTCCACATGCCCAGGAACAAGGCAGCAAACTTCTCACTATGTCCCCTTGATATTTAGACACAGATATTTTGTGGCCATAGCTGCTATATCATAACCCACATTGCAGTTCATGTCAATAGTGATTTAAGTACTTAAAAAAGAGGTAGGCGCTAGGATATTGTTTTGGTCCTGGCCTTGGCAGCTCACAGCACCTCTCCAGCCTCTCTTATTTATCTAGTTCCCCAGTGTCAACTGGGGTTAATGTGTTTTTCTGCCTTCTGTTTGCTTCTGAAAAACTTCAGGTCTCAAACAAGTGTACAAATAAATGAGGGATACTAGAAATCCTAAAGAGGATCTTAGTGATCATGGCAATGACCCTGAGCATCCCCCATTAGCCCCCAGGCTGCAGATGAGGTCTGACTGAGGCTTGGCAAAGTCTGTGTGATCCAGCATTCAAACCAATTCACCCTCTTTCTCTGAGTCAGGGAGTTAAGTCGAGAGTGTTTTGGGGCCCTTTTGGAGTTCATCAAGGTCTTTTGGGGTTTGTAGCTTCAGTTTGTGTGCACTGTTGCTTTCTCTACTACAAGGCAGATATCTTTAGAAGGTAAATCTATTCATGCTTATGAAGAGGAAATTCATGCCAAAAGGTTGAGGGAGAAGAGGGGAACTGGGTTTCCTGAGGTGGGGACTGCAGCCCGTGAGGAGTGCAGGCGGTCCCTGCTGCCACAGCCCTGTGTGGGTGAGTTTTCGGGTCAGCGTCCACACTCCCTGGGGACGAGGACTGATCACGGACACCCAGGTGTGCCTGGCCCCTGGGAGCTCACCCCATCTCAGTGCCAGATTTTGGCTGGGGGTCAGGTTTCAGCACAGGGTTTGATGCCCATACCAGTGCCCAGTGCAGCTGATGCCCAGCATGTCCGGCGTCTGCAGCCTTCTCTCCCAAGGCCTCTCGAGTGTGCCAGCTCCTGCCATGATCCCTGGTCGCAATAAGCTGTGGTGTCACTGAGTGCCTGGTGGCGTGGTAGGAGGCCAGAAGAAGTGGGGATAGCCGCTAAGCACCCTGAACATCTGCAGTTCACTTGCAAATTCCTTTTGGGGCATGCTGCTGGAGCAATCTCTGGCTGTAAAACCCTGTATTGCAAAATTCTTGTGTCATGTTTAGCCCTTCAGTAATTACATTATATACAGAAAGAGGGCCCACCTTTAGCTGCCAGCACATCTATACATCGGCATGGCCAAGACTGTGAGCAGGACAGAGCAGGTGGAGTGTTTCTGGCTGCTGGCACTCCACTTGTTCCACCTGCGTTGGACAGATACGCAGTGTTGAAAAAAAGAGACTCTGTTTGAGTGCAGACAATGTGCCAAATGTCACCAATTTGATAAAACCCACTGGGATTCCTCTTAGCTGAGGCCAGCCTGTGTGCTTGCCCAAGAAGTATCCATTGACATGATGGCTCTTGCTCAGAAATGGCCAGGGGGTTTCACGGGTACCGGATCCCCAGTGGGTGGAAGATCTGGGCAGTGTTCCCTCCGAAAGGGGCAGAGCTGCCCCAGCGATGCCTGCTGTGCCCTTTCCCTGCCCATCAAAGGGGCACCATCCTTCCCCTGGAGAAACTCTGCAAAGCAAATGGCCAAAGCCATGCTTGCACCCAACGCGCACCTACAAGTGCGCAGGGGTCTCGGTGGCCCAGGGTGGGTGTGCGGTGCCCCCGGTGCCGCTGACCCCCTGTCCCCCGCAGCTGCGCAGGAAGCAGGCCTATGTGGAGAAGGTGGAGAAGCTGCAGCAGGCGCTGACACAGCTGCAGGCAGCCTGCGAGAAGAGGGAGCAGATGGAGCGGCGGCTGCGCACACGGCTGGAGCGGGAGCTGGACTCACTGCGGATGCAGCAGGTGAGGACGGAACGGTCTGTGCGGGACCCCAGCGTGGGGCCTTCGGCGTTGCTTTTAAAGGACGGTCGCTTGCAGCCCTGCCAGGCACCACCTTGCTTTTGGGTTCATGTTGTTGGGCTTTCCGCCTAGGCCTTTCCTTTGGATGGGGTTGTGGATGCCCCATCATGGGAAGTGTTCACGGTCAGGTTGGACGGGGATTTGAGCCACCTGATCTAGTGGAGGATGTCCGTGCCCATGGCAGGGGTTGGTAGGACTTGGATTATCTTTGAAGGTCCCTTCCAACCCAAGCCACTCTATGATTCTAACTCCTGATTTTCAGCAGAGGATGGGGGAGCTCCACAGTGGGACTGCTGGATGCAGCTGAGCCCTGCCTGCTGCGGGGCTGGGAGGTCCTGGCTCCCCTGCTCAAGGGCAGGCAGCGCTCTGTCCCTACGTGCTTCCCCCCACCTTCCAGGGAAGAGTGTCCTTCCAGGTTTCTCTCCAGCAATCACAGATTGTGCAAGATCATCTCCACACCGAAGGAGTAGAGGAAAGGTGTAGTACACGTGGACATGAGATTTAGCCCACAGATTTTGGCCAATCTTTTATTGAAAAAGCAAGGTGGGATGATGTGGGATTAGGTGGGAGCAAGGGCTTGGGCAATATTCATTCTGGACAAAGATGATGTACTCGGTTCACAGAAACCTCTGTCCCTAACATATCTGGAGACAAATCATAGAATATCTTGAGTTGGAAGGGACCCATAAGGATCATTGAGTCCAATGGTGTCATCATCTTCAGACAATAAATTATTTAAAATCAGTCCAGTCCAGACTGGCTAGAAGTGAGTTTTGCATTTCTGTCCCCTTGTTTTTCTGGCAGCCCTATGTCCTCAGAGGGATAGCGTTATGCTTGTATTTTATGCACAGTTATTCCTTTGGGTAGGTAACCTGGTCTCTCACATTCTCCTCCATCCCCAAGTCCCAAAGTCCAGTCATCTGTGAAAAGGGGGGAAAGAAGCATGGGAGGTTGCAGGGAGGATTTCCAGGTTACAGCCAGCACCAAGTGCCAAATATATGGGCACTGGCAAGCAGATGTACTAAGTGTCTGAAACCACCACTTGGGGAAAAAACAGCAACATAAGCAAAACATGATGCTCTTGTAACTCTTGAAGGGCTCGCTCCTATCTCTGTCAAGAAATGCATCTGCTACAATAACCCTTCTTTATTTATGAGCCATTAGTGGAGACCAAAGCAGCTGTTACACAGAGCTCGTGCTGCCAGAAAGCAGAGGGTCTGATCCTGCCAGCGGAATGCGGCTAGGAAATAGCTCTGTGGGCAATGTCAGCGGTTTGCAGAGTCACCAGAGCATCTCCTTCTCGCTGGCAGCCCCAGGGCAGGGCAGGGCCCCCAGCACCTCCCCAACAGCATCACTGTCACTGCTGCTCCCTGGAGACCCTTCCCATCCGTCTTGGCTCTTCCCTGCTGCCGTATAAGTACATTCAGGCTTTCTTGCCCTGTCCACCATGGGCTTGCTGTTCCTGTCTTCTTCCAGCAGCTCTTCTCAATTGCCCCTTAGCCTGCTCTCCTCCAATTTAAAAAACAAATTACATGGGGTATGACATGCTAATACTGGTGTAAATGAAAGAACATTTGAGAAAATACAATCAAAATTTGAGTGAAGGTAAAACTAGAACTAGAAAAGGTTTTGTTCTCTGGGCTGGAATATAGGGACAAATTGATATATTGAGTAACTGGGATGGACTGTCGACAAAGTCCTTTTCTTGGGAGTTCAGGCTACGTCTCTTCATTTCGGAGAAAATTCCTCTGTAACTTACAGGGTGCTTATAATTTTTTTTTGGCACTGTAATCAGCAACTACATTTTGGGTTGCCGTATTTCTCAAATGCCTACACCAGTTCCTTCTAACAAGTTTTAGGAAGAAACATGCTCTGACTTCCCAGCTCACCCATCAGCTTTGAGAGGAGACTTTGGGGTATTTTGCACTATTTATACTTTTTGTTTTATGAGCCACAACCCTGCAATGAATCATGTTGCTTCAAGGTGCCCCAACTTCTTACTTCAGAGCTGTCTTCTCTGAGTTATCAAAGTTGTATCTACTGAAATATTTTGTCATCACAGAGAAAAAAGAGCTTTTTTTCTCCTTTTTACTGGAGTCAGCAGAACAGACGCAGCACCTAAGGAGACAGCGAGCCAGAGTATCCTCTCTTCCTGGCTTGTTGGTAACCGAGTCCAAACTGCAAATCTTCATTATTGCTAATGCATGAGCTAGGACCAAAAAAAAAAAAAATCCTTTGACTTAGCGTTGCAGGGCTGGCAGAGGTTTTGACTGAGAATGATGACAGGCACCCGTGATGTCCCAAGATGCCATTTACAAACCAGGGCTGTGCTTCCAAAATACTATTTTCCTGCAGGGATTTGACAATATTTGAAGTGTAATGCTGTTTTTTGCAGAAGACTTGCAGCCATTGCTCCTAAGGGTTACTCCATATTGCACTCTTCCAGAAAGCAGCTTCCAAACATGTTACTGCACCAAAGGCAAAGGCTGCAGCCCTCCCCTGGTATCTCTAGTTTCCCATAAGCAGGAGATAAATGTCTAGAAGTAGGAAATGTGGTTCGGAAAACGTGAACAGTTGCTGCAGCCCTTGCTCCCGTGTGGTGGTACTGTGCCAGGGAGCCGCTTTGCTGGTGGAAGCTCGTGGTGTAGCACGGATGAGAAGCCAATGCTTCCGAGACAGTTTCCCTTTTAACACAGTCCTGTGCGCCATGGAGTGCAACAAATCTCTTGCATTTTTTATTGAAAAAAACATTTACTTCTACTGACTTCTCCCAGAGCTTCATGCCTCTCTCCCCTGACATAGGCTTATTCCACCCAACCTCCCCTGAACCAAGGGCTGGATCTCCGTCCTCCTTCACTCTCGACCAGCAGTGAGAGGAGTTTGTGAAGGCTACCTGTGCCGCTTAGGTGCTTTAATTAAGTGCCTGTAACTGGGTGGGATAAATCCTGCCTGGGTAAATGCTTTCCTTGCAGCGTAGATGCAAAGGGTTATGCACCCATTGCTGCTTGTCAGCATCCCATGGGAGCCACTCTGCAGTGCCTGGGGATCTTCTGCCCCTCCGGTCAGTCGGAAAGTTACCTGCTGTACCACAGAAAGCATCTCCTGAGGGCACGTGAGAACTAATGTGCCAGAAGAGACAGGCGTAAATCCATGCCTGGGGTATTTTCCCAGCTGCTGTTTTAAATAGATTACATGTAGCTAGGTTACATGTCGCTTTATTTTCTCCTTTTATATATAAACCCTCTGGTAGTAACTGCCTGTCCATACCGAGCACTGCCCAGCCATGTGATGAAGTCCCAGCAAGAAGAATATCTTTTAAAGCTTCATTACTTCTTTTTCCTACCAGCTTTTTTTCCTACCTTTTCCCTTGACCTGGGGTATCCCATGAAATCCTTGCACATCCAGGGAGCAGCCGGATCCCTACTTCTGTCAGCATGGTCCGGAGAAGCGTGTGCTGGGCTCGCACATATGGTCAACCTGCCTGTCCTCCTGCAACACAAGGGGTTTAGCCTGGGGTTTCCCCTTGCCCCTGTCAAAAGACACAGGGATGTCTTTGTGAGCTCCAGAGAAGAAGTGGGGAAGAAAGGGCCAGTAGCTCCCATACTTGGCAGGAGGTGAATATCTCTCTGTTTCCACCGGCAGAGGCAGGGCAGCTACCAGGTGAGCAGCCTCCCGGAGCACAATGCTCCGGCCCTGATGGAGCTGGTGCGGGAGAAGGAGGAGAGGATCCTGGCCCTTGAAGCCGACATGACCAAGTGGGAGCAGAAGTACCTGGAGGAGAGTACCATCAGGCACTTTGCCATGAATGCCGCAGCCACCGCTACAACGGAGAGGTAGGATGTTGCTGCAAGTGGGCAGCCCTGTTCGCAGCAGAAAGCTTGAGGGAATAATAAGGAATGGATATTTTCTTAGGGCTGGATTTTGCTTGCATTTCCCCGCTGAGTTGTGCCAGCAGGGTTAATGCACCTCACTGTGGTGTCATGCCAGTGAGATACAATAGTCAGTTCAGACAGGGTTTACCCTTCCCTCCAGGTCCAAAAATTTATCAAATCCAGGCACCAGACTCAAGCCATGGCCTCAATGGCAAAGTCTCAGGCTGCCAAATTGCGCAGCATAGGTAAGGCAACTCCTCCCCGCCGCACCGGTGGAACAAGGAGGGACTGTTGGTATATGGCTGCATCCATCCCGTGGTCTGCAATGTGGTTGTTCAACCTAGTTTTAAAAACCTGTGATGAGGGAAATTTTGTGGCCTAGGTCCCCTGTTTCATTGCTTCATTAAGCTTCAAAATAAAAAAGTTGTCCTGATAGCTAAGCTAAACCTCTTTACTGCAAATTACCTCAATTGATTCTTGTCCTTCCCAGGTGTACATGATGAACAACAGATCACTGTCAACGTTGTAACAGCCTTGTAAATATTGGAAGACAGATATCCCCTGTTGTATCTTCCCTGGCCTGAACTAACTTACTTCCTTCAGCCATTCCTCACGTGTCCTAGTGTAAACCCCTTCCCATTCCTGATGCATTTGCCTGGATTGCCTCCAGTTTGTCTGTGTCAAAGTGTGGTGCTCAACAGTGCACAAGGCACTGGGGCGAGGCTTTCCAGCAATGAGGAGAGGATCATTAACTTCTCGCCCAGTTTCTTAGAAGCCAGATCCCCTGAGAATATCCTAAAATGAGATTTCCCTTTGAAATGCGGTTGAGCGTGTGACTCGGGATGATCCTTTTCTTTTGCGCTTCAGTCTAGGCAGCGATTCTTGTGCTATTTTTCACCTTCCAGAGTGTACAATTTTGTTTCTCATTTGCGATGTAGTCTTGCTGACTTGGGCCCATTTCCCCAGTGAGTGAGACATCCCCTGATGTCTGACCCTGTCCTCCAGGACGGTTGTGAGCCCCATGGGGTTCGCCCATGATTTTAGTGTGCTCTCCGTTCCATCAGCCCAGTTATTTAATGGCATTAATGACTAAATCCGAGCCAAGGGTGCACTGCAGCAAGGCAACCCAACAACAGATAGCTGTCTGCTTGGCAGGCAGTCATCACTAGCTTGCTCTTTGAATGTGGGTTTGGGGTTTTCTTTGCAAGGACCAATCTCACTTGCAAAAGCTGCCCTCAGTCACGGGAGCCCGACTCACCATGTTGAACCACTTTGCCAGGGATGCCTTGGCCCCGGCCCACTCACGCAACGGCAGCTACAGCGAGAGCGCGCTGGAGGTGCGGGGCTGGCAGGAGGAGGAGGAGATCGTGCAAGCCAACCGGCGGTGCCAGGACATGGAGTACACGTAAGGGGCCATTGTGCTGTACCTGCTCATCATGGGGTTTGGGCTGGGTTCAGGTAAACCAGGATACCCTTCTGTTCCTTCATGCAGGCCTGGAAAGGATGGGCTTAGCTTCACTTTCCCTTAGTTTTGCTCTTCAGCATTAAAACAGGGATTAAAGAGTTGCTGTCGTTATCTAACTTCCTCGCTACCTTCCTGTTAAACCTTCTCTGTGTCAAAAACGACCTTCTTACAAAACAGAGGCTGTTCCACTCTTAGCAGTAGATTGGCATGTGAGGAAGCCGAATGCTTGTTTAATCTCAGTGAAAATCCCCCTCTGGAAACAAGAGCGTCTCATCGTAAAAACTGAAGTTGTAATCCCACTCCTACGTAATCAGCAATGCGAGGGCTTGCCTTTGCCTTGCTCTTCGCTCCTTGCCTGCTTATTGCTCTTTCGAGAGACATTAAGTTTCCCATATCCAAGTTGTGTGACTGTCACATTGTGTTTTAGAAACAAACCTGCAAAATTTAGCACCACGAGCACCGCTGAAAAAGATGCATTTATAAGTAGTAGAAGATGTAAAATAAACTTTTTTGGGCACAGGCAGTCAGTGAGAGTAACGTTCGCTGTTGCAGATACTTCTCCATTTTCAGCACACAAGTGGACGTGTGGACGTGTAGTTCAATGAGAGTTAGACCTGGGCAGTATTTTTAATCCAGACTTTTTTCCTGGTGAAAAGTGGCCTTCTGATGAGTAAAAATCCCTTGAGAAGTTTGTGTATTCCTCTAGGTTTTTACTGAAAAACTATTTAAAATCTGTTCTTCAGTGTTGGCTTCCCCACAAAAACACCGGTCTGCAGATGCTTTTATAAAAAGGTGTATTTGTTACTTGTGGAAAATATCAATGATTGTTTTTACTGGGTTTGGTGTTTGTTTTCCGCTCACAGATGCAAATTAATCCTGCTTCCAGTGAAGTAATGGGGTTTTGCCATTGGCTTCATTAAAGATAAATTAGGATCTTGTGTTTTCATTGCAAAATAGAAATCTGATTATGAAAACTAATGCCAACATGAAGTTACTAGCTATCTCCCTTGTACATACAGGTTTTCCAGATGTAGCATTTTAGCTTTAACTGCTTCACAAAATGCAGCTGCATTGGACTGTGTATTGTACGTCACAGTCAAGCTGTAGTCATCGGGCTGTCATATTGTACGTGTACAATTATTTTTTTTTAAATGTGGTTTTGTAGTCTTTCGGTATGATTTGGTGTTAGTCATTCCTGGAGAAAAGTCTCAGATAATCCTGTTTTTTGTGATTTGAAAGTCTTCAGGGTCTGTATGAGAGAAGTAGGGAGCTTTGCTCGGCTCTGCACACCATGTGCTGATCGTTTCTGCAGTGGTGAGGGAGAAGCAAGAGCCCAGCCCAGGTGTTAGAGAAACCAAAAGGACCCTTTCTGCTCGCTTCAGCAGGTCTCTACTCCAGCTGACGACAGACCCGAATCGTGGGGTTAACTCAGCCTGCCAAAGGAGAGTTTCCAGATTTGGCCTGGATGTATTACGGGGGTGGAAATTGCCTGTGTGTTTGTATTGTGGTGAAGGTAGCAATCTGCAGCCCGGTCAGGATACTGCCCTCGTTGCTCCTGCTGGGTTGGTAAAGACACAGCAGTAGATGGGTTCAGTTAACCTTGCAGAAAAGAGTTCCCAGTTTTGGCTTAATAGCTAGAAATGCTGCCTGTTTCAAAGTGCATGGTTATCCTCAGAGGAACTGGTCGGAGCTGCCTTGTCCGAGTCACTCAAAACTGGAGGGGACAGAGCAGCAGGGCACGTACTCGGGGACCCATCCTGCTGCCCCAGAGAGGGGAGAGCTGCCCATATAAACGCTTCTTCCATTCCTGTAAGCAAGGTATTTATATTTTGGCAGAATAAAGAATCTCCATGCAAAAATAATTGAGAAGGATGCCATGATCAAGGTCCTTCAGCAACGGTCACGGAAGGACGCCGGGAAAGCTGACAGTGCCAGCCTGCGACCAGCCCGGTCCGTCCCCTCCATTGCTGCTGCTACGGGTGCTCATTCACGCCAGACCTCACTCACCAGCAACCAGATAGCTGAGGAGAAGAAGGAAGAGAAGGTCTGGAAGGGAAGCATAGGTGAGCTCAGTTTTTGCTTAAGCTTTGGCTCATCCATCACTTCATCCTAATCCTTCTGCTTGAGCTTGGCAAAAGTGACCCTGGCTGTGGCACACATTGCCCCGACCGCTCATTTCCAGAGCACTTTCCATGGGAAGACTGTGTGTCCTTGTGCTGAAGTCAAAAATTAGTAATTTTTTAACCTTGCATTGTATATTAATTATATCTTTAATCATATTAAATCGTTCTGCACTGATTATAGAAAGCCATAGTTAGGGGAAAGCCTACCAGAAACAAGCAGATGATGTTTGCAACTTTGTGGGAGTAAATGACAAATTTGGGCTAGAAAAAAAGCCTGGTTAAACAAGAGGGTGAGCATCCCTTTGGGTAGGAGTGCATGATGCGACGCAGCAGCTAAATGGGAAAATGAGTGCAGGACTGTGGTTTGGGGCCTCATGGGGCAGGGGTATGGAGGTGTGTGAGGCTGTGCTGGGGTACCACTGGGACAGGCATGCAGAAGGGGATGCAAGAAAGGGCAGCTGCTCTCAAAAGGCTGATTTTGTAGGAAAGTACCATGTGGATGTCAGGAGAAGAGCAACAGGCGGTGTCAAGGGGAAAAGCTAAGCCAAGCTAAAGGGCTGGAGACATATCCAGACCAGTGCCTTGTAGTTCTGGGGTGGGACGTGGGGACAGCACCTGTGTTCAGGCTGGGATGTGACTGACCACTGTGTGTTTTCAGGGCTGCTTTTGGGGAAGGAGCACCACGACCACCCATCAGGACCCTCGCTGCCTCCTCCGCTGCCCTCCTTGTCCTGCATGCCCATCCCGGCACCGGCGGCCTCCCACACAAAGACAGGCAGCAAAGACAGCAGCACCCAGACAGACAAAAGTGCCGAGCTCTTCTGGCCTGCCGCTGCCTCCTTCCCTGGCCGTGGACGGCTGGGTACCACCCCATCACACAGCCCGGCCCCACGGCCCCCGGGGACAAGAGCGACCAGCGAGAAACTGGGTGAGCTCTGCCAGATCCCCTCATCGATGCAAAATGCCAGCACCCCCAGAGCTGTCAGTGGATCCCCAGAGACACCCCAGTATTGATGGAGGGGGGTGATGCCTTCCCAATTTGTAAGGTGGCGGGGAGGTTTCTTCAGGGAAACTAAAATCGTAGGGAGAGAACTTTCCAAGGTTGCCCGGTCTGGCTTTGCAGAGCTTCGTGCTTGGCAGCTTCTGTAAAGCTCCACTTGCCAGCAGCAGGCAGAGTTTCCAACAAATGCAATTATTCATGCTGCCAAAGATAAAATTACAGATTTTCACACCTTGAAAACACTCCACACCTGCTCACGCACTCAGACCCTTCTCTTTTTTTTCAGCTTAAACCATGGTTAGTGAAGGCGCCATTTTCTCCCTAATTTTTAAAGGAAACCTGAGGGGAAATAGTAATGAGAAAGTGGAGATTTTGAGGGGGGGGATAGTAAAGAAATACAATTTTAGTCATTTTTGAAAGGTGGAAACCACTGGTTTGCAGCAAGGGAGACATTTATTTTACACACATTATTTTGAAAAAGCCTGTTTCCTGCACATTCATCTTGTCTCAAAAGCAAGCCTTCCCTTGAAAAAGCATGCCATGTGTCATTAATAGAGCTGAATATCACTGATTCTTGAAACTCTGGATTACTGTATTTTGGGCAATCCAGACTGGAATTTGTTTCCAGGTACTCTTAAAATAGCCTTTCAAGCTATTCCTGCTTGTAAGAAATGGGAGTCCTTCTCCCTGAATTTGACTTCGAAGATGAAGATAAACACCTAACACCACCTATCATACATTTTGATAATTGGCCATATACATTCTCTTAGCCCATCCCACTGGCAAAGTAATACGTTTTAGATTAAACCACCTACCTGATTATTTGTGTACTGCCTTGGTGATGGATTAAACTCCTAAATTTTGTACCTGATGCAGAATAGGAGCATACATGTGGAGAGCTACCATGGATCAGATGACAAGTAGTAACTTGCTGAAGTGATGTAGACCTTTCACAAATGCCTGCTTCTCTCGGGATGCCATCCAGAGGGACCTGGACAGGCTGGAGAGGTGGGCCTGTGTGAACCTCATGAGGTTCAACAAGGACAAGTGCAGGGTCCTGCACATGGGTTGGGGCAATCCCCGGTATCAGTACAGGCTGCGGGATGAAGGGATTGGGTGCAGCCCTGCCGGGAAGGACTTGGGGGTA